TCCAGTTTTTAGATTTGCTTTGTACAGTGTGTCACCACATATTTTGTAAAAGAGCATTTGCCTTAATATTTTTTTTAAAATACTATTTAAAAGTAGAGTGATTTTTAATTCTCAAACCATGGAACTGCTTTTTTTAATTCAAAAAAATTAATTCCAATCAACAAAGTGTACGATTGGTAACACTGTTATTGGTGCATCATTTATGCATTCAGCACTTTTATTATGTGCCAGGTACTACTGAAGGAACCAAAATAGAAATTCAGAAACTTTTAGTCAGTTGTTTTGTTACTTTCCTTTAGTAACTTTGCAAGAAACAAAGTTTCTCTCAGGGCATCATTTTTTAAAAAAGGGGAATTTATTGTTGTGCTGTGTGTGGTGTAAAAGCCGGAGTGCTGGACAGTCTGAGGCCGCTGAATGGCTGGCTGCTCTCAGTCCTGCTGTCCTTTCCTTCTGCTAACTAGAGGCGTTCTGCTCTCTCTTCTGTAGTTTAAATCCTGCAGAGCTGTCTTGAGCTTTCAAACTCTACTTCATTGAGCTATCATTTACGTACAAAACACACCATTTTCAGTGGGATTAGGTTCGACAAGCTTCTGTCTCTCTACAGCCACCATCATGGTGAGATAGAGAACATTTCCTTCACCCCCACACTCTACCCCCACCAAGCCCAGCTCCAGGCAAACCAGAAAGTCTGCTTTCTGTTCCTGTCAATTAGATTTGCTTTTTCTAGAATTTCATATAAATAGAATCATAGAATATATATTATTACTCTGTGTCAGGCTGCTTTTGTTTTAAAATTTCCTGATGTTTCGTGTCTTAAGATTGTTCCTTTTTATTGCTGAGTAGTATTCCATTATGTGGAATGCCACAAATTGTTTATCTAGCAACTAGTTGATGCATAATTGGGTTGTTTCCAGTTTGGGGATATTATGAGTAAAATTCTATGACCCCTTATGTACAAGTCTTTTTGTGGACACTTGTTTTCATTTCTCTTGGGTAAATGCCTAGGAGCTGAATTGCTGGGTTGTGTGGTAAGTATGTGTTTAACTTTGTAAGAAATTGCCAAATTGTTTTTTAAAGTGCTCGTGCCATTTTCCATTCCGAAAGTTCCAAGTGCACCACATCCTTGCCAGATTGTCAGTCTTTTTCATTTTAGGTCATTCTAAGTGTGTAT